ATCAAAATTGTTGACATTTCCTGTTAGCAAGTTTCAGCGAATGACAGAATCTGCTGTATTTACAAGTTTTGCACATGTATTGTCATATTTGTGCTCACCTACTGTCCCAATTGCTAATTCTTTGCCCATATATTAATCACACTTGACAATGTGTTGCCCAATTGCATATTGCCACATGCTCATATATTACTAGTTTATTGCTACAGTGCGGTGTGTGTGTATGTTTGTGCGCAATCAAGTCACAGATGTTTGTTTTGGGGGGGTTATATTTTGGCATTACCGCCCCCTGCTGTAAAATCTTTGGCTCACAGCGTACTCACCATTTTAGGTATGTTAGTTTTTTTTGTATGTACAGGTGAAACTCGATTAGAATATCGTGCAAAGTTCATTTATTTCACTAATCCAACTTAAAAGGTGAAACTAATATATGAGATAGACTCATTACATGCAAAGCAAGATAATTCAAGCCGTGATTTGTCATAATTGTGATGATTATGGCTTACAGCTCATGAAAACCCCAAGAACCCCAAATCCACAACCTCAAAAAAGTAGATTATTACATGCAATCAATAAAACAAGGATTGTACATAGAACAATATCGGACGTCTGAAAAGTACAAGCATGCATATGTACTCAGTACTTGGTTTGGGCCCCTTTTGCAGCACTTACTGCAATTACTTTTGCACGATATTCTAATTATTCGAGTTTCACCTGTATATACACAAACCAGTCAAGCAGAGTCTCACTGGGTTACAAATTCTTTACATCTTATAGCAAAGTGTATGAAGATAGCTAAGGCTTACCTTATAATTCTTGAGGACAACAGTTTTAAAACACTGATCATTAAGGATTCTTTCACCATTTAAAAATGTATGTAAGCTTAACATTTTAACGAACTTCACTTATTTGCTCCCCTTTGGTATGTGTAATATATGCATTTCTTTATATCTGTCCGATATAGGCATGGTTGAGTAGATTAGGAGAAGAAACTAGGCAGGCTTGACAATACCCAGTAAACAAAAAAAATTTGTATTTGGTTCATTTAAAATGGTTGCTTACATATTGTTTTCCTGAAAGAACATTGTTTTCTCTAAACTGAATTTTCCTCTGGAATGCAAGGGGTCTGGAGTTCATTTTTAACCTATAGTACTTTCTGCACTGTACTGGCAGATCTCATTGCCAGTTGTACACTGAACCCCATCTGTCCTAACAAAGAGTTAAAGATGTAAAATAATTGTATGTTAAAGAGCGAAAGTTCAGAGGGTCCCAAGTCTTACTATGGGGGCAACTAGAGCTTCGTCTCACAAATAAATTGTACAGAGAAGCCTCAGAGGCTAGCTACACAAACACATCTAAAAAAGGTAAGAAATATATATTTTTTTAATTTATTATTTCAGGTATGAATGTGTGAATGGGAACTCAATCATATAGTGGTGCTTTCTCAAATTTGTCTACAAAAAGGTGGAACAAGAGCTACCCTGTTTCCCCGAAAATAAGACCTACTACCATTTTTGGGAATTGCTAAAATATAAGACCTACCCCGAAAATAAGACCTAGTTGTGACCATTCCCAGGGCCGGTGGTGGCATAAGGGGGAAGTTGAAGAGCCGCGTGAGAGAATTAGTGGTGCCCACGAAGCCAGCGCTAGAGGAAGCAAGGCGGCAGAGGAGGGATCGAGCAGAGCCGCATAAGCCGATGCTTCCTCTATAGCGTCGTCTCCTGTCACAGGCGGAGTAATACCAAATGTACTCCGCCTGTGAGGAATCTATAGTGAAAATGTGCTTCGCTCATTTTGGTTACCAAATAGCTCTTGGAAAGGTATGGCACCCCTGATTGCCCTGATCACCTTATTCTTAACTTTGCCATTTTGGATTATTTAATTTGGATTTGCATTAACTTTGGATTGTTATACATTGAAAAAAATAAGACCTACCCCAAAAATAAGACCTAGTGTGTTTTTTTTGAGCCAAAAAAAATATAGGACAGTGTCTTATTTTTGGGGAAACACGGTATATGCATTTCTGGCAGATTAACATGTATTGCACATATGTACTGCATTTTTTTTTTCATTCTGCCTCGACAAACTCTTTAAAGAAGCAGTCAAGAGGGAAAGGCATTTTCCTCCCCAAGTCACATGTGCCAGAGTTCCAGGAAGTAAAGGGAAATGGATTAATCTGCCCTTAGTAAAATTAGCCACTGTGAGAAGAATGGAGAGGAAAAGAAAAAAAAGATGCCAATTATCTATAGCTATGTGTTTGTAGATTGCCATTACCAAACATTTCTGAAAGGTGCCTTTGTTGTTATTCTGAAAACAACCCTAAGGGGTTAAGGAAATTCCTCCAATACCTCTGGCTGTGTGGTCATTGACCTTCTACCATGGTAAGCCACTGTGTAAAAAAAAAAAAAAAAAGCTGTGTTGTAAAGAACAATGGGCTGAAACTATGACTATAGGTTATCAGATGTTATTCTACAAAGTATTTATTTCAAATTTACATCAACTTTACAACAATTATATAGTCCCAACCCACCTATCAACAACATTAACAGAAGCAAAATGGTATATCAAATCAAGAGAAAACAAGTTGATGCAAAAAAGTTAGACCCCTCTAGGTAGGATAATTAAATATCCTAGTAGTTTTCTCTGAAACATCTTACACACACACACATATATATATACACACATACTAACACAACACAATCTATAGTAAATAACCAAAACACAAACATCAAAACAGTAAGAAGAAAAAAACCCTACTACTGCATATAAAAATATCCACCCATTAAAATCTCCTCAAAACACCTGATGGAGGAAGAGTGTCAGCCTATGCGGAATACATTGTGCCATTATATAATGGTGAAGTACTATATATATTTTGATGTATATCCATAATACATATATCCATTTCTGGGAGTAGATACATGGCTTGTCCATATAGAGCCAGAGCTGTAGTTTGTATCATGATATATACATGGTATTTGGCAGTCCAGGCAATACGTCTTGGGGAACGGGACACCCCACGTTCCCTGTTGTACACCTCCACAATGCCACTGTATGAGTAGGTAACAAATCCTCCGATGAGTATCAAAATGTGAATGGATAAGTAAAGTGGTGACACACTCACTCGAGTTCCAATATGTGATTGTTCAGGGAAAGCACTTGGCAGGTTTCCAGGAATGTCTACAGTTCCAGCTATTCATGTAGTAAATCACCAGATGATGCATGTAGTATAACAAAATAAATGGCCATATCCATCCAACTCACAGAATGCAGTCAGGTCTTGGAAAAGCATTGCAGATCACCGCACAGGTATCAGCCACCTAACAGAGTAGTGCTGCCCAGCTGAGTGCCATCACGGCCACTAGTGGTTTTACTTCTCATGCCTGCTAGTCTGAATGCCTGCAAGGGTCCCTATAGATAAGAATAACAGAACAAGGGACAATATATTTGGTACTGATGGAAGACTCATTGGCATCCTTTCTGAATAGAAAAATTTGATTTTTGTCGTACCTGAAGAAATGGATTTTACAGGTAAATCATAAGACACAGGGAGTTCATTCTGGAAACAATGAGTTATGCAACTACCTACTGCCTACCTACTACGCAACTGAAGCCTAATGCTGGAAGGCCCAAGAAACACTAACAGTCCTAGTAGAGTGATCCATTAGAGAGGAAGGAACTTTACTCTTCAACTCATAGGCCTGGGTGGTAGTTCCCCAAATCCTCATAGCTATAGTGGATGGTTAGAACCATAGCTATAGTGGAAGGTTAGAACCATTGTCAGGCTGTGTGGCCCCAGAGCCTTCCGCTCATACATCCTCATAACTATGGGGGGGGGGGCTCTTCAGGAACAGAGCTTCAGTAAAATTACTCACGGCCCAGGACCTGTATAGCAACCCTGTGACAACTGCACAAAGTGCCAAGGGAGTGCACCAAACAGGACCCAGTACTCTGAGCACAGGCTGGATCTGGGTATGGCCCAACAAGGCTCTGCTGAGGAGAAAATTAACCCAGATAGCTGCTAATAGGTGTCGCAATGGATGTGAGCAGCTTAGGGAAACTTGCTAGGTGAGTCTTGAGCAGAAAAGGATGCGTAGAGAGAAGGCACCCATCACCCAAGGACAGTGGTAAAAACTGGGGCAGGCTAGGATTGGGAGCGGGCTATACAGGACTGTCCTTACAGTTTTGATTTGCCAGTTTACAGTTACCTGAATGTAGCCCTATAACCCACTGGTTTCAAAATTAGCTCACTGTGTCCTGTAATGTACAATCAAGAAAAAGTAAGCGGATAAGGAAGATGCGTTTTAAAAGTCCAACTCTAGCTAAATTTGTTTTATTTTTGATAGTTCTCCATAGAGTGGGTGAGTTATTTAGGAAAGGTTTTTATTTCCATCTATAACACTACTGAGAAATGCCCCCTGCTTCCTGTCCCTGTAAATTCTGCACAACAAACAAGGGGTGCAGTGGTCACTGGGGCAGAAAGGCACAAAGAGCAAAAAAAAACATGATCAGACATTCAAACTCTTTTCCAGCCTACTAAAAATGAGTCAGTCTGTGTTACTGTTAGAAAGATTTTCAACCACTTTCTGTCTTGATATGACTATACTGTATATATGTAGCTTTGTTTTGCCAACACTTGTCGTTAAAGTGTGATCAATGTATAAAATACATTTTAATAAGGTCTTAATGAGTGCAGATTGTTTGTGGAAAATATTAACACCTCTGCCAAAAAATTTCTTTTCATGAGCTGCTCCATGCCATCAAGACTGAAACACATGTGCTTAGATATCTCTAGCTGTATAAGGTCCCTAGATATTATATGAGGTCTGCATCTGCATACAACTGTAGAACAATGGTTTTAGATTTCCCCCAAATGATCAAAGCAGTCAGCACCTGCCCAGACTGTCCATATGTCACACTGCACCATCTCAGTGAATGGCTGAGTCTGCTTCAGAATGTGATGCCAACCACTGACAAAGACTTCCCATTTTACAACAAGGTTACCCATTTTACACATGCATGGGCAGCATAAATCATATATTTATAAACTATGCAAATACCGAGCGATAGGCACAAATAAATATTTAAGTCACTTTGGAAAAGAAAAGATGAATTATTGCTAACAGTGGGGTAGACAAAGGCAATGTGCTATCTTTACTGGCAGCAAGGAGCTTAACACAAATTAATTATTCATATCTTCTATGTCATTGTTTTGTACTAGATTCCAGTAACTCCTTTGCTTCATTTATTTTCATTGCCATATAAGATGAGCCACCTGCAAAGAGAAACACAGGAGGTTTAATAAGTGGAATGTGAAAAAAAAACGATCAAGCAATATATCAAGGAGGAAAACTTATTCAAAAGACGAACAAAAGTACTATGAAAAAGTTTACAGCTAAAACTTTTGTTTGTTTGTTTATGGTAGAGAAGGGTTGTAACCTCTTTCAGGTTTTCATTGTCTTCTATGTAGCCGTGATTCATCCCCTGTATTTGGGTTGGTGACCATTATCACTGGGACTAAAAGTTAGGGGAAATACAAAATTTTGAGTTGTCACTAGAACAGCAAAGAAAGGAAAATCTTCCAACGGGGACATGTGTTCTGGTGACTACGGTCTATAAGGTGGGGGTAGCTAATAGAGATTAGTCATATTCAACTGGACTTGTCCTGTAATGTTGAAGCATTTGATGGCTTCTCTAAAGCAGGCTATACAAGGTACAAATTCCAGCCAGTTCTTGATGAACTAACCAAAATTCACACAGTGGGTGCCCCTGTTGGCACCATTCAGCCTGGCATTCCTCGGATCAGCTGATCGAAGGAGCAGGTTGGAAAATTCTCAGGCAAACAGAGCTTGCAGCCAATCAGCTCATAAGTTGATGGAAGAATCTGTTATATTTTCTTTGTTTGGCTCGCAGGTTGAAACTGTCACTTAATCCAATCACCATGGAATGTGTAAATGACGACTGTCCAAGAATAGAATGGGGAGGTGTGAAAGTTGTGGGACCACCCTGCTCTACATAATCTCATCTCAGGCCCTCTGCAAAGATGTTCATTCATTGATTTACATGGCTAAATTGATGTCTAATCACCAGGTAGAGATGCTAAAACAGCTTTATATGTTCAAGACAAATGGTTTTGAAGTCCCACTCCCCTGTTCAGTGGTTGTTTCAGTTTGGTTCCCAAGAGGCGTAAAAGAGGTCAGCTGTATCAATTGTCCTCTCTCTGCAAAGGGTATTAAGATATTCTTTTGAGGACTAGCAGACTGTAAGGCTATTAAGACTGTAAGAAAGCCTATGAAATGAGATAAGACTTTTGAAGCCAAACAGAGCTCGACAGTACAGCAAATATGTTCCATGCTGGACCTTTGTCTCAACACCACTTATACTTAAATGACGTACAAGGATCACGTCTACAGGTAGCAACATGGCTGGCGAAGACATACAGCAGGTTACATAGCCAAACCAGCTAGGATGAATGAGGCCTTGAAAAGGGTCTCTAACCTCTTGTCAACTGGATCATTGAACACTGGAAAATTCTCAATAGGGACCATCAGATTCTTGTGCAGACAGTAACCACCCACTTTGAGAAACCCGTTCTCTATAGAATATTGCTGAGCAAAGTGCTTTGGGGAGATGGAGTTTTTCAGGGTGAGGTCAGCTGTCGTACAGCAGGTACTCTACGAGTGTACAGTAAAGGTCTTAGCAGGCTTGGCCAGTTTTAGTGAACCCATGCTGGTGCCGTTAAGTCTAGAGTGTCCAATAACCTGAAGGTAGCTGCATATAACCCATGGTCTAGGACTGAAAGTCCTGTGCACTGTACTGTACGAATAAGGAATGTATATTTTTTCCTGAAAATCAAATTACTCATCAGATTCCTGCATTTCCTAATAACATATCCCTAACTGAACTTTCATAGTACATGATGATTTGCCAAGAATTTTTTTTTCTTAAATAATATATCCAAATATTTTAAAGCAAAGTAACAAACGGTATTGCAAACAGTTTTACTTACTTATCCAACAATATAACCCATACCCTAATATATATTTTATAGGAAGCCACAAACATCATTACAAGTCACAAAGGACATTAAATGCAATATCACACACTATGCATGGTTATTTAAAATAACGATTTAAAAGCACAAGACCACAGGCAAAGCATCTTTGTCTAGTTATAGCTCCACGAACAAGACATCTTAAAAGCAGGACATTCAGGAGACAATAATACATATGCACAGTATATTAAGCACAAACAATTGCTGCTCTAAGGGAAAGGGGCCCATATATTGATCTGAATACTGGTCTTGGTATTTGTTCTCCGATTTATATGAAGCTGGCAATACACATCAACAAATTCGCTCAGTGGGTGGTCCTGACGCTTTTCCTTCTAGCATTGTTTGATAAGAAAAGCAAGAGTCAGATGGAAATTTTTCAGGTGAACAGTGAAGGCAGCCAATTTGCTGCCGCCACTGTTCAGGTATTTGGACAGTGGCACGCCCCCCGCTATCAGAGTACAATAGCCCAGCAGGAGATTAATTTATATTGTTATTTTTTTAGGTTCAGCACACAGGTTGACAACAGTGAATGGCCAGCTTAACTATTTTACAGTGTATATGGTTCACAGAACAATGAAACCTTCTCTATAACTAGAACAAAGAGGTAATACAAGTAGAATATGTACAAGCATGTGAATCCAAATTCTTATGCAGGCTGCGGATTAAAGCAGTTAAATTAATCAGGGAGCAAAGGTATGCAACAGTGCATGAATCCCCCAGAAATCACGGACAATAGAACTTGCGTGATGTGGAAGTTAAATGAAATATACATTATTTACACTAAAAATATGAAATATGCATTTGCTTTATCGTATATCGCAGAAGCATTACGTTTCACGCAGAGCCGAAATGATAATCGGCTGGTGACTTGTTCATATGCTCTTTATTTGTCACTGTGACCCAAAATCACCAAACTTCACAGAGTAAGCTGAACCCTAATTACTGGCAAGGTCAATTGCAGATATTATGTGCAGTTTGATGAATTCCAGCATTAAAGCCGTAATATCCCATCTTGGGGAATGGCAGTTAAAATCTCTCCTGACTCAGTTTTCAATGTAATCTGCTCTAAATCCTCAATTTAGAAGAAAAATTCAGTCATCGAGTGTCAGTGTGGTCTCAGCTAATTAATGGAAAGAAATATCAGCTTATCGGCAGGCTGTTGAAGTCTTATCACACTGGTAGTCCTGGAGTAAATGTGTTTTTGATGATCAGCCTACAAAGAGCATTATTTGTTTTATGTAGAACCCTCACACACAGGTAACAATAATGAAATAATGTTCATGCAAATGTAGCCAATGTTATTACACCACAGTGTGCAAGCCATAATAACAATTCCTGCCACAAGTATAAGCCTCCAGATCTCATCTCAGGAATAAAGGCTGTACTTCCTACACAGAAAAACCATACATATGTTTTTGCAAAAGATTACAGAAACACTATTACACTAAATATCGTCTTAACTCAACCATGCCTAATGTAAATGTTCTTTTATTTGCAGCACTTGCATAGCACCCGTATCTTCAAATATTTTCTAACGTAACAGGGTTCTGAACTACTGACCACCTCTGTTCCCAAAGGAACAAGTGGTTAGGACATCTCTGGCTTTGATATTTTTATTCACCGATCCAGGAGAAGCGTACAGGTTAGAAATTCAGAATTCTAATCTGCATCCTGATCCAGGTCAGTGCCTTTGAACGCCATTGGACAACCAAGAAGGTGAGGTAAGGCGCATCAGTTATTTGATTGGCTGTCTAACACACCATATGAACAATTGTTATCAGTGCACAACCAGTGGGAGTGCATGACAGTGTGTTAAGGTGTATTGCAACACAAGTGCGTTGGCATGCCATTGTGACACTGTGACAACAGTGTAAATAAGGAAAGATATAGCACATTATTTCCCATAACAGTTATTATGTTTAGTCTTGTGACTTAGAAATAAAGAAAAATATGGTAATTCATGACTAACATCTAAGAGCATTGAGCAATCCCCCCCCCCCTAAAAAAAACGCCCCAATT